AACCCTATAACCCAAGGGCTTTTCGCTTTTCCGATTCGCCAAATATTTTTCTTAAGCTCAAAGTGGAATGGCATAAATCATGTTCAATATTATTTCGCTTTTTATCCGTTCCGTACCGTTTTCGTCTTCGTTTTTTCGCTTCGTATTGAGGTGGCCCGGGGTTAAATGATTTCATTTTGCGGAGGAGAGATGACAACCCTGGCAGGAGCTGAAAAGCAGCACTTGTTGCCCTGTTGATTTGATTTTATTGCCCAGGCAGCACAAGAAAAGTATTGAATATAACCGGGCGAGGGAAGTGTGGAGTGTGGTGATCAGGTTAAGCAAACATCCTTTGGCCAAAAGTGGGTGGTCGATGTCCTGGCCAAAGAAATTGCTTTTGCGGTGGGTTCTCCTGGCTCCGTCGTAATTACCAAAAATGCCGCAGGTCAACAACTCCGGCTTCTTTCTTCCTGTTCCTGGCACTTGGCATCACCGAATTACGAGCTGGCATTTAAGCAACACAACTAATTTGTGTTAAAATTCCATTAGCCAGGCCAGGCCCAAAAAATATGCTCAGCAGGAGTGACTGGATTTCCGTTGCGGGGTTGGAATGCCCAAAATCAATCACCAAGTGCCATCACGCACAGTGATGAATAGTCAGAATATTCAGATTGGCCTCGGGGGCAATGTGAGCCCTTCACCGCGAAATCTCTTCCAGCTTTTTGGCTTTTACTTTGGGTAGGCGGAGGATTCTCTTCATCAGCGATACAGCTCACTCTTGCATGGAACTTTAAAAATAAAAACAGAATTTAAAACCCAGTCCCTTTTATTTACAAAGTGTTTTCTGTCCAGTTCACACAATCTTTACAAAATCGAAGCCATTACTTCTCTTATAAACCTTTAAATTTAGATCAAATAGTTTGCGCTGACTTTCTGTCAGAAGGCACCAAACGCGAGCTGCCTTGATTAAAAGATGAGGGGCCGGCAAATGAGAATTTTGTTCTTGAAACTTGCGCATAAAATGAATATAGGCCACCGCTGAGCCCAAAGGACTTTTGTCGCGATTCTTCAGCACAGGACTGGGTTTCATCTTGACCCTGCGCTTGATGGACTGGGACTTCTTTCTTTCCTTCTGGTTCCTGGAGTCCCTCTCACGGGCATAGGGAGAGCGAACTGGACTGCTTTTCTCCCGCTCAGATTTACCGGGGTTTTCCCAATGGGACTGACTCTCCAACTCCTGAGGTGCACTTTTTATAACAGTCACAGGTTCTTTCTAACATACGTTTTTTAGCAATTGGTTTATATTATCAAAAATTAAGATATTTCCGACCTACCATGTTTTTAAAGAGATCCTTTTCTTGGAGGGTCATATAGTTCCATTCTTTTGCTCCGAAGCGTATCATGTCCGGTTTGGAAATCCTGTAGAATGGCTTTTTGAATTCGGTCGATAAGTTAAGGAAGCCATTGTTTGTAATGCGCGCTTCTTTCTGGAACTTGTTAGTTGTTTTACAAAGTGACTTTCCACGTTTCTTTCCGTCCATAGTTTTAATTTGTGTAAAACTACAATTTGGTTTCCCGTACAACACTGTCTACACTTGAATATGAATGTGAATACTAATTCTGCTTGAGAAGCTGTTCTCCCAGCTATCTTGGATATTTATTCTTTTGTGATTTATTTAAGATTTGACATCGATTGAATCGTTAGGCATTCAATCCTGAAAATTTTTTATCTGTTAACATTTCTCGCAAAAAAACACGAACACCCCCTATCAAAAATTTGAAATTGGGTCAAAAAATAAATTTTCCTTCAAATGATTGGAATCGCTAGCTTATTTAGCAAGCTGTTTAAAACAGTTGGTTTTTTCGCTGTACGCCTTGATTTGGCTAAACTACGATTGAAAAACTGGAAAGAAAAATCGTATTTTTGAATAAAATGCGAATCTCGTATTTTTGACCAAAATCCAAATCCCATTTTTCGCCATAAAATTTCAGTTTTTTGGCTGCTATAACAATAATAATCGTCAGATCGAAGAATGTCATACCTCGCTGAACTCGTTGTTTAATTTCCAATCCATCGGCATTAAAACCTAGAAATTCTTAATTTTTGACATTTTTCGCAAAAAAACACGATGCACCCCCTACAAAAAATGCGAAAATGGGTTAAAAATTAAATTTTCCTAAAAATCATTGGTATCGTTAGATTGGCTAGCAAGCTGTTCAAAACAGTCGGTCTTTTTGCTGTACGCCTTGATTTGGCTGAACTGCGATTGAAAAACTGGACAGAAAAATCGAATTTTTCACTAAAATGTGAATCTCGTATTTTTGACCAAAATCAAAATCCCATTTTTTCGCCCTAACAATTTAGTATTTTGGCTGCTATAACAAAAATAACCGTCAGATTGAAGAATGTAATACCTCGTTGAACTCGTTGTTTAATTTCCAATCGATTGACATTCAAACCTGGAAATTTTTATTTTTTGACATTTTTCGCAAAAAAACACGATGCACCCCCTACAAAAAATGCGAAAATGGGTAAAAAAATAAATTTTCCTAAACATGATTGGGATCGTTAGCATGGCTAGCAAGCTGTTCAAAACAGTCGGTCTTTTAGCTGTACGCCTTTATTTGGCCAAACTGCGATTGAAAAACTGGAAAGAAAAATCGGCTTTTTGGCGAAAATCTGAATATCGTATTTTTAACAAAATCGGAATCCCATTTTTTCGCATAAAAAATCAGTTTTTTGGCTGCTGTAAAGAAAATAAGCGTCAGATCGAGGAATGTCATACCTCGTTGAGCTCGTTGCTTAATTTCCAATCCATTGGCATTCAAACCTGAAAATTTTTAATTTTTGACTTCTTTCGAAAAAATAGACGATACACCCCCTTACCAAAAATCCGAAAACTGGTCAAAAAATACATTTTCCTTAAAATGATTGGGATCGTTAGCATATTTAGCAAGCTGTTCAAAACAGTCGGTCTTTTAGCTGTACGCCTTGATTTGGCCAAACTGCGATTGAAAAACTGGAAAGAAAAATCGGCTTTTTGGCGAAAATCTGAATATCGTATTTTTAACAAAATCTGAATCCCATTTTTTCGCATAAAAAATCAGTTTTTTGGCTGCTGTAAAGAAAATAAGCGTCAGATCGAGGAATGTCATACCTCGTTGAGCTCGTTGCTTAATTTCCAATCCATTGGCATTCAAACCTGAAAATTTTTAATTTTTGACTTTCGAAAAAATAGACGATACACCCCCTTACCAAAAATGAGAAAACTGGTCAAAAACTAAATTTTCCTTAAAGTGATTGGAATCGTTAGCATATTTAGCAAGCTGTTCAAAACACTCGGTATTTTAGCTGTACGTCTTGATTGGGCCAAACTGCGATTGAAAAACTGGAAAGAAAAATCGGTTTTTTGGCGAAAATCTGAATATCGTATTTTTGACAAAATCTGAATCCCATTTTTTCGCCATAAAAAGTCAGTTTTTTGGATGCTATAAAAAAAATAAGCGTCAGATCGAGGAATGTCATACCTTGTTGAGCTCGTTGTTTAATTTCCAATCCATTGGCATCCAAACCTGGAAATTTTTAATTTTTCACATTTTTCGCAAAAAAGGACGATGCACCCCCTTACAAAAAGTTCGAAAACTGGTCAAAAAAAAAAAAATAATTCCGCTAAACTGCGTTAAAAAAACTGGAGAAAAATCGAATTTTTGGTTCAAATCTGAATATCGTATTTTTAACAAAATCTGAATCCCTTTTTTCACCATAAAAAATCAGTCAGAAAAAGATAACAGATAACTATAATGTAAAATAGTTTACAGAGCCTAGTTCTTTTAATTAGGCTTACAAAACATCATTACTTAAATATTTCGCGCTTCAAATTTAGACATATTAAGATGGCTTAAATTTAAGATTTTTTATCCAGTTCTCACAATCCTGAAAAAATTGTAGATATTATTAATTGAGTGAAGCTTTACATTTAGATAATTTTACCAAAGTGGCTTCTCAAATTGTTCGCGCTGGCTTCCACGCAGACGGCACCAAAGTCGGGCTGCCTTTTTCAATAGATCATTTGCCTCCAAATCTTTGTTCTTCCTCTGGAACTTGCGAATGAAATGAATATAGGCTACGGCGGAGCCCAACCGATTTTGGTGGAGAGTCTCTGGACTGGGTTTCTTGATTGATTTTTCTTGATCACTGGCAAAAGGAGAGCGAACTGGATTTTCCCCATAGGACTGATTCTCAAACTCCTGAAGTGCACCCTTTTGCACGCGTTTGTTTAAAAATTTTAGATATCAATTATGATTAAGATATTTCCTATGCTTACCATATTTTTAAAGAAATCCTTTTCCTCGAGGGTCAACTGATTCCACTGACTTGCTCCGAAACGTACCATGTCATTTGGGGAAACTCCGCAGAACGTCTTTTTGTACTCCATTAAGAAGTTAAGGTAGCCATTGTTTGTCAAGCGAGCTACTTTTTGAAAATTGTAAATCGGCCTTTGAAGTGCCATTCGACGATTGGTTCCGTCCATAGTTAATTTTTCTTTAAAACTACAATTTTGTTATAATACGACACTGTCTACACTGAATATGAATGTGAATACTGATTTTGATTTAGAAGCCGTTCTCCCAGCTACCTAGGATATTTTTTTGGACTTATATCCAATTTTAAATACAATATTAAAGAGTACAGTGGAATAGTTAATTATCTTAATTGCAGTCAGAAGTAGTGAAGGAGGCATTCCCGACACAACAAAATATATACAAAACAAAAATACCTCTAAACGCGCGACTTATATAATCCCAACTTTTTATCGAATGTCTTGACTTCACTTTTTTTATTTTTATTAAAAAGGAGTTCTTATTTCATTATTTATTAATTGCAAGTTTTCCAAAATTAGAAAAGTTGAAAAATAATGTGCAAAAAATATTGAATCGAAGAAGGCCAACAAATCCAGCCAAACCGAGCATTCCATGCCTTTGCTTGTCACTGTTTTGGAACGGGCACTCACAATATTTTCTACATAGAGAGAACAAGTCGATTGCTAGCAGCAAGACTTTTATTATATTTTCTAGATTTTTTTTCCAAGTTTTGCACGTTGCGTGATAATATTTGGGTATTCGGTAAGTGAAATCTCGCGCGTATTTAAATTGACAAGCCAATTCCGCAAGTCCCCGATTCGTGTGTTTTCAAATTCCGTATATTTATTGCCGCGATCTTAAGAAAAAATTAATTTCTATAATGATTTTATACATATTTGATTTCTTTCTACGTTGTTTTATATATAGTTTCAATTTAAATGATGGGGGACGACGCGGACCAAAACCACGATGAAGTATTCATTCTGGAAGGTGTCATATGTGCGGATAATGTAAACAGAATTGAATCTGAATGCCGGGCATTCAGTATTGGTAATATGGATTCAGAGGAACGTCGACGTCAAGTGGAGTGTGCCCTCAATAGCGTGATGCCTTGGAATGATGAACACTTTTTCCGAATCAATCTTCCCCATTCGCATCCCTTTGATAGCAACAATTCCGCCGATTACAGGCACATAATCGCCGATAACATGGGTGCCACAACACGAGTTTGCATCGGAACATCCACTTTCTGGTGTATTCCTTCACTTCTGAAAATCCATTGCAAATATTTCGAACGCCACATTCGCCGGGTGAGTCTTGTTACTATCATTCTTGATATTACATATGTACGATTAACTTATCGAACGCTTTTTTCCATCCCTAGGTGTATCGCTTTCGCGAGGGCGCTGACCTTACTGCCGTGGGTTTTCGAGCTGCCTACGATTGGATGAGATTGCAAGAGTCTTTAGGAAACGATATAGGACCGGGTCAAGTGGTTGCCATGCTGCACACGGCCATGCAACTAGAGATGCGAGCACTGCAGACGGACTGTTATCGATTCCTGTGCGGAGCCCACTTCCGAGAGGAGATCGCCTTCGAGGTTTACCTAAAGGCCCTGAAGTATCCCGAGCTCGAAGCGCTCCGCAAGGTGATGCTTCAGAGGATCGGGGTTCATTTTCTGGCCGTGGTGGGGGGAATTCATTTTCGGCAGATGCCCTTCGAGGATGTGATGACCTTGATGTACCAGGATTCTTTGGGTGTCAATTCCGAGGTGGAGGTCTTTTCGGCCCTTATCTGTTGGCTAGCATATCGTCCGCAGGAAATACCTAAGCTCATGCCACAACTGATGGAGTGCGTTAGATTCACCTTAATGCCACTACCCGTTCTACGAAAACTGTGGGACACATCTTACTTGTCCAGCAGTCCCTCGGATCCCGAAGGTACTCTTTTGGGCGCTTTTCATTATAATTTCGATATACAGTATAGGATCAGCTTTGCGATCACTATAGCGTCGCTGCGACTTTTGCAACCCATTCGTCGCGAATTTCTCAAATCCTTGAAGGATGTTGCAGACGAGGCTCCAAGGGAGTGGATGTACGACGAAACGTGTTCCTATCACTTGCCATACCCCAAGGGTCCCTATACTCATGTTATGGATAGTCAAGCAATTTGTTCCTATGTCTCGCAGAGAGCGAGGGAGTTTCAGACATGGCCAAGGCGTTCAACTACCAATGATCTACAGACCATGGAGGAGGTGCCAGCTGAATTGGAATGCAGGGAGGATGAGGACCCGAACGAAAGTTTCTTGATTGAGTTGCAAGCTCTGTTCCTTAAATTAAATCTATTTCTGCCCCACGAAGGGGATCCTCAGCCTCCCGAACTGGAAGTTATACCACTCGAGGACCAGGCTTTTCTCTCCGAGACCTATGTGCAGGAAGCGGATGGCCAGACCAGAGGGATATTAAAGGAACTTGACCAGAATGTAATGCCTCAGCTCAGATTATAGCCCCTCTAAATTGCTGTTCACCAAGACAGATAGTGAATGTAATTTTTATTTCGAGTAACAAATATATTAATAAAATTGTCAGAGCATATGAACTGCTTTTTTTACTTAAAATGTGTGCTTATGGTACATAACCAAGAATGCTGGTTTTATAACATGCAAAGCAGATATATAACTAAATGCCTGAAATTCCGGAAATAGCTTAACATAAATTGGGGTTAAAAATGGATTTAAAAAGATCAAAAGATTTGGTTTTTCCTAACATTGAAATACTTTTACAAACAAATTTATCATAGGTATAGGAATGAGAAAAAATTAGTAAGAAAACTTCGTTGTTTTTTCTTATATTAAAATTTCAAAATTATAAATTCGAATATTAAAAACAGGTGATTAAAAACAGTTTTAAAAACACAGTCCCTTTTATTTACAAAGTGTTTTCGGTCCAGTTCACACAATCTTTACAAAATTGAAGCCATTACTTCTCTTATAAACCTTTAAATTTAGATCAAATAGTTTGCGCTGACTTTCAGTCAGAAGGCACCAAACGCGAGCTGCCTTGATTAAAAGATGAGGGGCCGGCAAATGAGAATTTTGTTCTTGAAACTTGCGCATAAAATGAATATAGGCCACCGCTGAGCCCAAAGGACTTTTGTCGCGATTCTTCAGCACAGGACTGGCTTTCTTCTTGACCCTGCGCTTGATGGACTGGGACTTCTTTCTTTCCTTCTGGTTCCTGGAGTCCCTCTCACGGGCATAGGGAGAGCGAACTGGACTGCTTTTCTCCCGCTCAGATTTACCGGGGTTTTCCCAATGGGACTGACTCTCCAACTCCTGAGGTGTACTTTTTATAACAGTCACAGGTTCTTTCTAACATACGTTTGTTAGTAATTGGTATATATTATTAAAAATTAAGATATTTCCGACCTACCATATTTTTAAAGAGATCCTTTTCTTGGAGGGTCATATAGTTCCATTCTCTTGCTCCGAAGCGTATCATGTCCGGTTTGGAAATCCTGTAGAATGGCTTTTTGAATTCGGTCGATAAGTTAAGGAAGCCATTGTTTGTAATGCGCGCTTCTTTCTGGAACTTGTTAGTTGTTTTACAAAGTGACTTTCCACGTTTTTTTCCGTCCATAGTTTTAATTTGTGTAAAACTACAATTTGGTTTCCCGTACAACACTGTCTACACTTGAATATGAATGTGAATACTGATTCTGCTTGAGAAGCTGTTCTCCCAGCTATCTTGGATATTTATTCTTTTGTGATTTATTTAAGATTTGACATCGATTGAATCGTTAGGCATTCAATCCTGAAAATTTTTTATCTGTTAACATTTCTCGCAAAAAAACACGAACACCCCCTATCAAAAATTTGAAATTGGGTCAAAAAATAAATTTTCCTTCAAATGATTGGAATCGCTAGCTTATTTAGCAAGCTTTTTTTCGCTGTACGCCTTGATTTGGCTAAACTACAATACGATTGAAAAACTGGAAAGAAAAATCGTATTTTTGAATAAAATGCGAATCTCGTATTTTTGACCAAAATCCAAATCCCATTTTTCGCCATAAAATTTCAGTTTTTTGGCTGCTATAACAATAATAATCGTCAGATCGAAGAATGTCATACCTCGCTGAACTCGTTGTTTAATTTCCAATCCATCGGCATTAAAACCTGGAAATTCTTAATTTTTGACATTTTTCGCAAAAAAACACGATGCACCCCCTACAAAAAATGCGAAAATGGGTAAAAAAATAAATTTTCCTAAAAATGATTGGGATCGTTAGCATGGCTAGCAAGCTGTTCAAAACAGTCGGTCTTTTAGCTGTACGCCTTTATTTGGCTGAACTACGATTGAAAAACTGGACAGAAAAATCGTATTTTTGAATAAAATGTGAGTCTCGTATTTTTGACCAAAATCTGAATCCCATTTTTTCGGCCTAAAAATCTAGTTTTTTGGTCGTTGTAACAAAAATAATCGTCAGATCGAAGAATGCCATTCCTCGTTGTTTAATTTCCAATCCATTGGTTCAAATAACGATATAACTGTATTAAATGCGGGTATCCATCCTTTTAAATATAAAGATTTTTAGTTATGCGTGCTTTTAAGTTAAGGTTAGACATTTTCTTAACAACAAAATCAGTCACGCACATTTGCAATGAACATTTGCAATGAACACGATCGCAAAAAAACACGATGCACCCCCTACAAAAAATGAGAAAAACTGGTCAAAAAATAAATTTTCCTTAAAGTGATTGGGATTGTTAGCATATTTAGCAAGCTGTTTAAAACAGTCGGTCTTTTAGCTGTACGCCTTGATTTGGACGAACTGCGTTAAAAAAAAATGGAGAGAAAAATCGCATTTTTCGTTAAAATCTGAATATCGAATTTTTGACGAAATATGAATCCCATTTTTTCGCCATAAAAAATCAGTCAGAAAAAGATAACAGATAATTATAATGTAAAATAGTTTACAGAGCCTAGTTCTTTTAATTGGGCTTACAAAACATCAATACTTAAAAATTTTGGGCTTCAAATTTAGACATTAATATGGCTCAAATTTAAGTGTTTCTTATCCAGTTCTCACAATCCTGAAAAAATTGTAGATATAATTCATTGAGTGAAGCTTTACATTTAGATAATTTTACCAAAGTGGCTTCTCAAATTGTTCGCGCTGGCTTCCACGCAGACGGCACCAAAGACGGGCTGCCTTTTTCAATAGATCATTTGCCTCCAAATCTTTGTTCTTCCTCTGGAACTTGCGAATGAAATGAATATAGGCTACGGCGGAGCCCAACCGATTTTGGTGGAGAGTCTCTGGACTGGGTTTCTTGATTGATTTTTCTTGATCACTGGCAAAAGGAGAGCGAACTGGATTTTCCCCATAGGACTGATTCTCAAACTCCTGAGGAGCACTTTTTGCACCCTATTGCACACGTTTGTTTAAAATTGTTAGATATCAATTATGATTAAGATATTTCCTATGCTTACCACATTTTTAAAGAAATTCTTTTCCTCGAGGGTCAACTGATTCCACTGACTTGCTCCGAAACGTACCATGTCATTTGGGGAAACTCCGCAGAACGTCTTTTTGTACTCCATTAAGAAGTTAAGGTAGCCATTGTTTGTCAAGCGAGCTACTTTTTGAAAATTGTAAATCGGCCTTTGAAGTGCCATTCGACGATTGGTTCCGTCCATAGTTAATTTTTCTTTAAAACTACAATTTTGTTATAATACGACACTGTCTACACTGAATATGAATGTGAATACTGATTTTGATTTAGAAGCCATTCTCCCAGCTACCTAGGATATTTTTTTGGACTTATATCCAATTTTAAATACAATATTAAAGAGTACAGTGGAATAGTTAATTATCTTAATTGCAGTCAGAAGTTTGCAACGTAGTGAAGGAGACGTTCCCGACACTACAAAATATATACAAAACAAAAATACCTCTAAACGCGCGACTTATATAATCCCAACTTTTTATCGAATGTCTTCACTTCACTTTTTTTATTTTTATTAAAAAGGAGTTCTTATTTCATTATTTATTAATTGCAAGTTTTCCAAAATTAGTAAAGTTGAAAAATAATGTGCAAAAAATATTGAATCGAAGAAGGCCAACAAATCCAGCCAAACCGAGCATTCCATGCCTTTGCTTGTCAGTGTTTTGGAACGGGCATTCATAATATTTTCTACATAGAGAGAACAAGTCGATTGCTAGCAGCAAGACTTTTATTAAATTTTCTAGATTTTTTTTCCAAGTTATCTACAATGACGTTGCGTGATAATATTTGGGTATTCGGTAAGTGAAATCTCGCGCGTATTTAAATTGACAAGACATTTCCCCAAGTCCCCGAGGCGTGTGTTTTCAAATTCCGTTTATTAATTGCCGCGACCTTAAGAAAAAATTAATTTATATAATGATTTTATACATATTTGATTTCTTTCTACGTTGTTTTATATATAGATTCGATTTAAATGATGGGGGACGACGCGGACCAAAACCACGATGAATTATTCATTCTGGAAGGTGTCATATGTGCGGATAATGTAAACAGAATTGAATCTGAATGCCGGGCATTCAGTATTGGTAATATGGATTCAGAGGAACGTCGACGTCAAGTGGAGTGTGCCCTCAATAGCGTGATGCCTTGGAATGATGAACACTTTTTCCGAATCAATCTTCCCCATTCGCATCCCTTTGAGAGCAACAATTCCGCCGATTACAGGCACATAATCGCCGATAACATGGGTGCCACAACACGAGTTTGCATCGGAACATCCACTTTCTGGTGTATTCCTTCACTTCTGAAAATCCATTGCAAATATTTCGAACGCCACATTCGCCGGGTGAGTCTTGTTACTATCATTCTTGATATTACATATGTACGATTAACTTATCGAACGCTTTTTTCCATCCCTAGGTGTATCGCTTTCGCGAGGGCGCTGACCTTACTGCCGTGGGTTTTCGAGCTGCCTACGATTGGATGAGATTGCAAGAGTCCCTAGGAAACGATATAGGACCGGGTCAAGTGGTTGCCATGCTGCACACGGCCATGCAACTAGAGATGCGAGCACTGCAGACGGACTGTTATCGATTCCTGTGCGGAGCCCACTTCCGAGAGGAGATCGCCTTCGAGGTTTACCTAAAGGCCCTGAAGTATCCCGAGCTCGAAGCGCTCCGCAAGGTGATGCTTCAGAGGATCGGGGTTCATTTTCTGGCCGTGGTGGGGGGAATTCATTTTCGGCAGATGCCCTTCGAGGATGTGATGACCTTGATGTACCAGGATTCTTTGGGTGTCAATTCCGAGGTGGAGGTCTTTTCGGCCCTTATCTGTTGGCTAGCATATCGTCCGCAGGAAATACCTAAGCTCATGCCACAACTGATGGAGTGCGTTAGATTCACCTTAATGCCACTACCCGTTCTACGAAAACTGTGGGACACATCTTACTTGTCCAGCAGTCCCTCGGATCCCGAAGGTACTCTTTTGGGCGCTTTTCATTATAATTTCGATATACAGTATAGGATCAGCTTTGCGATCACTATAGCGTCGCTGCGACTTTTGCAACCCATTCGTCGCGAATTTCTCAAATCCTTGAAGGATGTTGCAGACGAGGCTCCAAGGGAGTGGATGTACGACGAAACGTGTTCCTATCACTTGCCATACCCCAAGGGTCCCTATACTCATGTTATGGATAGTCAAGCAATTTGTTCCTATGTCTCGCAGAGAGCGAGGGAGTTTCAGACATGGCCAAGGCGTTCAACTACCAATGATCTACAGACCATGGAGGAGGTGCCAGCTGAATTGGAATGCAGGGAGGATGAGGACCCGAACGAAAGTTTCTTGATTGAGTTGCAAGCTCTGTTCCTTAAATTAAATCTATTTCTGCCCCACGAAGGGGATCCTCAGCCTCCCGAACTGGAAGTTATACCACTCGAGGACCAGGCTTTTCTCTCCGAGACCTATGTGCAGGAAGCGGATGGCCAGACCAGAGGGATATTAAAGGAACTTGACCAGAATGTAATGCCTCAGCTCAGATTATAGCCCCTCTAAATTGCTGTTCACCAAGACAGATAGTGAATGTAATTTTTATTTCGAGTAACAAATATATTAATAAAATTGTCAGAGCATATGAACTGCTTTTTTTACTTAAAATGTGTGCTTATGGTACATAACCAAGAATGCTGGTTTTATAACATGCAAAGCAGATATATAACTAAATGCCTGAAATTCCGGAAATAGCTTAACATAAATTGGGGTTAAAAATGGATTTAAAAAGATCAAAAGATTTGGTTTTTCCTAACATTGAAATACTTTTACAAACAAATTTATCATAGGTATAGGAATGAGAAAAAATTAGTAAGAAAACTTCGTTGTTTTTTCTTATATTAAAATTTCAAAATTATAAATTCGAATATTAAAAACAGGTGATTAAAAACAGTTTTAAAAACACAGTCCCTTTTATTTACAAAGTGTTTTCGGTCCAGTTCACACAATCTTTACAAAATTGAAGCCATTACTTCTCTTATAAACCTTTAAATTTAGATCAAATAGTTTGCGCTGACTTTCAGTCAGAAGGCACCAAACGCGAGCTGCCTTGATTAAAAGATGAGGGGCCGGCAAATGAGAATTTTGTTCTTGAAACTTGCGCATAAAATGAATATAGGCCACCGCTGAGCCCAAAGGACTTTTGTCGCGATTCTTCAGCACAGGAC